AAAAAAAAAAAAGAAAGAAAAAGAAAAGAAAGCAAAGCAAAAGATGCTGAACAGTCAAAACAACCTTGATTTAAAACAAACAAACAAAAAAAACCCTACAGGACCTACACTAAAACTTACATTATAAAGCTATAGCAAGCAAGACTATGGTGATGAGAAAAAACAGACAAGCATGCCAATCCATAAACAGATCGAAACGTAATAGTCAAAATGTTTTTAAGAAAGGCACTAAAGCAATCAAAAAGGAGAAAGAAAACTTTTTAACAATGTTACTGGAACTGGAAATCCAAATGAGGAAAAAAAACCAGATTTTGACATCTCGATGCACACAAAAATCACTTTGAGACTAATCACAACCCTGAATATAAAAGATAACACAATAAAGCTTGCATAAAGAAACACAGGATAATAATAGTATTTCATAACCTTGGAGCAGGCAAAGATTTCTCAGCAAAATGTAATTAATCATGGAGAAAAAATTATATAGAGTACATCAAAAATTAAAACTTCTACTCCCCAAACACACCAGTCATAAAATAAAGACAAGTCACAAATAGGGGAAAAAGATGTAATATGCAAACCTACTCTCTAGTAGGTTTCAACCTACTAAAACTTTCAACCATAATATATTACAAACTTTTAAAATCTATTAACAAGAAGACCCAATAAAAATGGATAAACCAACTTAAATATAGGTTAAATGCCCCTTGTACAAAATGCTTGGGACCTGAAGTGTTTCAGATTTGGGATTTCTACAAATTTTAGAATGTTTACATATATATAATAAGATATTTTGGAGATGTGGACTCAATGTAGACATCAAATTCATTTATGTTTCATACACACATAGCCTAAAGATAACTTTATACAATATTTTTAGTGCAACTGCAATTTGACTATAATCTGTCACCTGAGGTAAGGTGTGGGATTTTCTTCTTTGACAACATGTTGGTGCTCAAAGTTTTGGATTTTGAAGGATTTCAGATATTCAGATTACAGATGCTCAACTAGCAGTCACTTCACAGAGCACATGGGAAAGTACTCAGTGTAATTTGTTGTTAGGGCAATGCAAAATACAACCACAATGAAATACTACTACACACCTACTAAGTATGCCTAAATTAAAAAAGACAACAGTCAACAGAGCAATAGTTAAGACCAGAAGTCTTGGTCTCATATACTGCTGCTGGTGGGTAAAATTGTAGGACCACTCTAGAAATTCCACTCCCAGGTATTATACAAGAGAAATGAAAACATATGTTCACAAAGAACTTAGTACAACAATGTTCATAACATCTTTATTTATCAGAGTCAAAACTTACAAACAGCTCAGGTTTCTCTCAATAGGAGAATGGATAAACAAACTGGTATGTTCACACAATGGAGTACTTTTCAGCTACTGATTACATAAAAGGCAAGGCAAATCTCTGAAGACAGAAAGTAGAGCAGTGGTTGCATTAGGCCATGGGAGGAAAAACTGCTTAGGCAGGAATAGGAGAAAACTTTCTGAAGTGATGGTCATGTTTGAGAACCTGACAGGGTATGACTACTATACCCTGTCAAAACTGACTGAAACATTAAGATTGGACTGTATTTCAGTTAAAAAAAATAAAAATAATGTATCAGAAAAGAGATTTAGTGGCCAGAGTCAGAATAAACTAGGGCTTTCCTATATTACCAACCATTTACAATATTTAGAGTCTTTAAAATAGTCACCAAATATCTTATTACATGAAGATGAATTCCATTTTAATTTATATCACACTAAACGATTATGTGGTTTTGGTAACTCAAACCAGCTGGTATGTCATGATCACTCAATCTGGTACAAAAGTCATTCAAAATTCCTGGGTGTGGCATGAAGTATAGCAACTGATACATTTTCTGGTCCTTGTCACTGGAAGTTCCATATTCAGATTATTATTTATTAGTATGCTGACAAGTTACTGTGAGGAGGGAAGTTTTACCAAGCAATATTCAACAGAAGTTACCTGTGAGATGGAGCCTCCCATTATAAAAGATGGTTTTTCTGATGCCACTGTGGTTTTAGAGGATGGGATGAGAGGAGGTGGTGGCCTGGTTGGTCGAGTTGTTGGAAGTCGAACTCCTTCAGGGAGGTTAGTTATCACTTGATGTGGAGCAGGTTGGAGGACTTTTAAAAGGAAAAAATGATTTTAAAAAGTCAATTTCCTTGTTTGCCATAGGTTATCTATCTCAATCATTCCTGAACTTTTATATCACAAATTATAAATGTGAGATGAACCCAAGGATGAACATCTGTACTTGGAAATTTTCTACCACTTAACTCTAAACTCAAGTCTTGAATGGTATTTGTGAGGCTAATGTATCCAACTCTTTCAAACTGTAGCTTTCAGGATTACTAAAACTATTTCTGCTCAGCAGAGGCAAACATCAATCTAGTGATTTTTCCTATCTCCATGACCCTTTAGATCTTAACAGTGCAAGTGAGAAAAGGGGAGCTTCTGAGGAGGAGCTGAGTAATGCTGGCATTACTCCACAGAGTATCTGAAAACCTGTTACACATCCTCTGTGCATCTGGCATAACCTGAGAAATATTTACTCATTTTGGCTTTCAAAGTAGAATTGCTGAAAGCAGAATTGCTGAGGGAAAAATGTCTCAAGATTTTTACAAAGAGAATGTATTCTTAAAAGAAAAGCCAGTCAATGTCATAATATAAATGTATGAACATAAATTTCTCAGTGGCCCTGTGAATTTGAACTGAATACAAATGACAATGGAATGGCGAGAAAAGTCATTTTGAGACGGCAAGGACATGCCTTGGAAGAGCACTTCATTCATGAGATCAAACCACCCATGTAGAACATGTGTGGCTAGATGGCTGGCAGCCACTGCGCAGAGGGGCGATATTTACCTGGCGGGACACTATAGCAGGCTGCACTCATATCAGGCTGTGAAGCGGCTTTACTGACTTCTCTTGGAGAGAGACTACACGGTGAAGCTGACCTTGCTGCGGTACTGTGCATCTGTGCTTCCTGTTCTAGAGCACGTGTGACCTCAGCATAAGGCATATAGGCGACTGATTTTCCTATGAAAGTTAAAGTTATCAAAATAAGGGAAGAACCCCAAATTAAAATAGTAAGTGTGAAAGGACCAAGCCCCTACCATCCAGGGGAAGATTTGTTTATATACTAACAAGATCTAAAAGTCCTCCGGAAGGCGGATGGGGTAGGAAATTCACCCACAGAAGGCCTACAAAATCCTATAAATCTAAATCTATGTATCCAACACCACTATGAACTAACAGACTTCTCAAAAATTTAATGGCAATTTTCCCCTTCACAGGGCAAAAATTCTTTCCTTTTAAGAAAAATCATATGTTTTAACTTGCAATAAAATCACAAGCAAACACCCGATTATCAAGTGATTCTGTGAATTTAAGTCTGGCCTGAATTAGAGGTCAGTTCTCAGAATTTTAATTCTTATAATTAGCCTGTTGATGGTAACTACTTAATATTCAGAAAACTAAACAAGGAATGAAAGAAGTCTTTTTCAAAAGATGTAGGTAAAGTTAACCCAAAAATTCAACACAAGTGTTAAAACTGTTAATACAACGCAATAGTGCTAATGAATATTAATGCTTAAGTTATTCTCGACATAAAAAATGTGAACATTTAAAAGGAATGAAAGAACATTTAAAAGACATGACAGAAATTAACACTCTTGAAAAACAATGTTTTTCCTCTTTTTTTTTGAGTCAGTGTCTAGCTATGTAGCTCAGGCTAGCCTGGACTTGGAGATCCTCAGGCCTCTGCCCCCCACATAGTAAGAATATAGTTGTATATCACTGTATCTGGTTAATTTTTTCTTTTTCCTAAATGAAAATGACATACTGTAGTTAGTGTGTTTTATTTTTTTCGTAGTGGACTGGAGTTTGAATCAGGACTTGGTGCTTGCAAAGCAGGCGCTCTAACTCTTGAGTCATACCTCCAGCCCATTTTACTCTTGATTATTTTTGAGATGGGCCTTGTGAACTATTTGCTTGGCTGCCCTCAAACCTCAATTCTCTGGATCTCAGCCTCCCAATTAGCTAGAATTACAGGTGTGAACCATCAATGCAGCATGAGGTTACCATAGTAATTTTTAAAAGGCACACAGTAAAACTCATATGAAATTCTTAGCACTAAGATGTGTGGCATTTTAATGTCTGCCAAAACAAATTCCCATTCATTTTATTACTTTTTGTTTCCTAGTCTTACCCGTTTTTCCTTCCCTATAAATTAAGATTTAAAGTCATTTTTAGTACTTCTTCCCCTAAACAATGGAATTTTCAATTGGCTTGTATTAAATTTATGAATAAATACAGGAGAATTGACATTTTATTACACTGAATTTTGTAATCTGTCATATAGGTTTGTACATTTGTTAAAAATTATTCCTAGGCTATTTTATATTCTGTTGCTAGGAAAATCTTTCATATGTATGAATGTATAAATATACCTAACACTTCATACTACAGATACATAGAAAGGATGTGGATTTCTATATAACAACTTTTTCTAAGAAATTTAATGAACTTTCCTTTCAGCTCTAATAATTTGTCACTTGAATCTTTTATACTTTCTAGGTAGGTAACCTTACAGGGTAAATAACAATTTGTCTTTTCCCTTTTAAGGCCTAAACTTGTACTTGCCTGACTAGCCTATTTCTAGTAAGTTTATAATTATGCAGAAAAACTCACTGGTCATATTAGCTTTTTCTTAGTAAAACAGTGGAAATTTAGATGATTGTAACTATAGCTATTTAAATTAGCATATACCCAGAGATGGAAAAACAATACAAAACAAAAAAATAGCCAAGTGTGATAGTGCATGCCTGTAATCTCAGCTACTCAAGAGGCGAAGACAGGAGGACTGAAAGTTCAAGACCAGCCTAGGAAAAGTTACTAAGATCTAGCCTAAAAACAAAACACCACCACCAAGGTTAAAAAAAAAAACCAAAAAAACCCACAAAAGTAAATTCAGTTATATAGAAGCATAAAGTCTTTAGATATTGTTAAACTTGCATTAGAACTTCAGTTCTAAGTATCTCCACATGCGTAAATTTGAGCTTCTTCATGGAAAGTCATCAATAGAATGGGCTCAAGTCATGTAAATGTTAGTGGGAAGGGAAAACAATTCTCTAAGGTTTAAAAAAGCTTCTCTAAAGACAAAGAAAGCAAGAAAGGGCACTGATGACTGCACCGTTCACACTAGGAGACAGTGAATGTAATTAAGCAGGTAGATGAGCAGTATGCGATGCCTTGTGAACAAGGCCAAGGAAAGTGAGACAAATGGTCCTAATTCAGGTGTACTATATCAGCATTTTATGGTGTTTTACACATAAATTGACACACATAAAAGTCTACCTTTTGGGGCTAGAAATATGTGACTCAAGCAGTAGAACGCCTGCCTAACAAGCATAAAGCCTGAGTTCAAACCCCAGTGCCAACTCCCTCCCAGAAAACAACAAAAAGAGCTACCTTTTCAAGCTAAAAAAAAAAAAAAAAAATCAAGCATTTGTGTCCAGTGGTATACACATAAGCAACTTAACTGAAAATATTTAAAATGTTACTTGGAAGATTATCCTATACACCAAAATACAGAATAGTTACAACCTCAAGGAGAGACATGCTTGTTAAATTACTGAATGAATAATATACTAGGTGGATTAGGCAAAACAAGTTAACCTTTGGAAAAATGTAACCAAACGTCCCACTTTGTAGAGTCATTTTGAACCAAACTATAAAATTCTTAATGTTGTATCAATCTAAAATATAATTATAGTTTAGTTTTAATAAAGATCAATGCATTATGATTAAGAATTATGGTACCACTGAGATCTCCCAGAACCACAAAAGAAAAAAACCAGTGATAAAGATACTTTGTTATGTCATTCAATTTAATCCATTCCTTCAACATGTAACTGCAGAGTATCTGTTGTGTCAACCTCAGAGTTAGGGAGGAAGGATTCTCTACAAGTTGTGCAGTAAAAGTCTAGAAAGTATCGATATTTCTACCTCCGCTCATACCTGTAATCCTATCTACTCAGGAAGCAGAGATCAGGATTGCAGTTGGAAGCCAGCCCAGGCAAATATTTTTGAGGCCCTATCTCAAAAAGATCCACCAAAAAAAAACAGTGATGGCAGAATGGCTCAGGTGATAGAGTGCCTGCCTAGCAAGTGTGAGGCCCTGAGTTCAAACCCAGTACCACAAAAATAAATAAATGGCACTAACAAACTGGGCAACAGTGGTTCACACCTGTTATCCCAGCAACTTGGGAGGCAGAGATTACAGTTCTAGATTAGCTAGGGAGAAAAGTTCATGGGAGCCATTCTGAACAGAAAAGGCTGGAAGTGGTGGCACACACCTGTCATTTCAGTTATGCAGGGAAACATAAAGGGGAGGATTGTATGACAGTGGCTCCAGCCTACTACTTGGGAGGCTGGTATCAGGATGATCAGATTTGAGGTCAGCCCTGGGAAATAGTTCATGAGATTCTCCCATCTCCAAAATTACCAGAGCAGCTGGTGGAGTGGCAGGTATAAGAGCACTTGCTAAGCAAGCATGAGGCCCTGAGTTCAAACCCCAGTGCTGCCAAAAAAAAAAAAGCAAAATGGACTGAAGGTTTGACTCAAGAAGTAGAGACCCTGCAATCTTCAAGCAAGTGTGAAGCTCTGAGTTCAAACTCTAGCTCCACAACAGTAACAACAACAAAGGAGAATTATAATCCAGGCCAACCCAGGCAAAAGGTGAGATCATCTCTCAAAAATAACCTGAGCAAAAAGGACTAGAGATATGGTTCAAGCAGTATAGCACCTGCCTAGCAAGCAGTTCAAACTCCAGTACTGTCAAAAAAAAAAAAAACCCAAAAGCTCACTAATGATTATATATTCAAAACTCTACCATAAGAGGTTCAGTGTCTTATGTAACTAACAACTCATCACTGGTGTGATTTGGGCAAGGAGTCAGCAGGATCAGTTAAATTCCACAGCATGGCATTCTGAAATCAGCCACTTACTTGTCTGTATAATGTATTACATATAAGTCTTTTGAATTACCATTCCAAGCATATTGTGCTATTATAGCACATACAGAGTCCCTAAGTTAATTATCAACCAGAGCGCATGTGCCAATCAATTCTGCTATGTCAGAAATTATTAAAATTTAGAAATCACCCCTTGTTTTAAAAAAAAAATGGATCATGCCCCAACTAAAAAACCAACTTGAACTATCACCTGAACTAATAAGGGATAACAAGTGACAGAGCAATGATGACAGGTACTTCCATACCTGTATGTACACATGCTAATATGCTAATTAGCATATAATATACTGTACATAAATGCTGAGCCAAGTATTATATGACAATACTGAATGCTCATTCTCTTGACTTTACAACCCCAACAAGGTAGGTATTTATTTCTATTTTCACTTTATAGTTGAGAAAACTAAAACTCTGAAAAGTTAAGTGATTGCCCAGGTCTACCATCTGACTAATGCAGGGTGAAGACTGAGCCAAGATCTGACTGGCACTATAAATACACAAAGCTGTCTCTGTGTCATATCAGAGAAGAGAACTGGAACATTAGGTGATCTGCTTCAAGGACAGGACAACAGTTTCCACTCATTCTGAAAATTCATATGAATGAACCATAAAGCATGGCTTTTTTTATAAAGTCTTTCAGCATAAAGACTTCAGAAACTTCATATTATCTAGAATTCTATTAAAAATGTTAATGTTATCTTTTAGTAGTCAATAATATTCAATAGAGTAAATGAGATCAATTTAAGGAATCTCATATGTTAGGAACAAATTTAAGAGACTGACTGAAATGCTGGTAACAAAGGACACTGCTGTTGGGTTTAGCTTTGTTTCTATCAGAGAAGTTCTGTGTGGTGATAGTGATCGCTCCATTTACCTACCTTCCCACTCTCTGTTTGGACTCTTGGAAGTGCCACATGGACTTGTAGAACTTCTACATTCCAAATCTATCTGTTCTTGCCTCTGCCGCTGTTCCTCCAGGAGTGCTGACTCATGCATTGCCTTAATGTGTCGCTGGTAGAGAGCATAGCCACTCACAGGAGTTCCAATAGGTATACTACATGGGGTGCAGGAAACCTACAGGAAGACGATGAAATCTAAATGAGCTAATGGCCAATGTAGCAGTGATTACCACTTGTCATAAGTAATGCTTATTTCTTTCATATTATTCTCTGAGCCAGTATTACCATGTTTTAATCAAGAAGAATGCTTAAAGTACTCCACAGTTACTTTCAGAACTGAACACAACATATATGAAAAAAGCTGTGGTAAGAGAAATCAGTCAGGAGCCAGTAGCTTCTGTCATCCTAGTGACTAGAGAGGCAGAGATTAGAAGGATATTGGTTTAAAGTCAGCATGGACAAAAAGCGAGACTATCTCAAAACTACCCAACACAAAAGAAGGCTGACAGAGTGGCTCAAGTGGCAGAGTGCCTGAGTTCAAATCTCAGTACTGCCAAAAAAAAATAAAAATAAAAAGGGAAGAGAGAGAAGAGACAGAAAGAGAGAGAACTCAAAATCAGAAATTAAAAAGCATCTGATTCCAACTTTTGATGGACAAAGTCTCTTATTCCTTCTGCCCTGGCTCTGGGTTCCATCCCTGGTCTTGGTCTCTTACCAGGCCATCAGATTTATTTCTGTGGATTTAAATGTCATCCATATGGTAATGACTCAGAAACTTTCTATTTCCAAGAGACTTCCTCCAAATTCTACAATCATACCCAAATATCTAAGCAGCCCAGAACTTATATTCAAAGTGGAACTTTCCATTTCCTAAAACTTAATTCTTGTTTGGTACTCCCCATCTTAGAAATGGATCTTGGCCACCTCAGCTAGAAAGCTGGCCATCATCCTTGACTAATCAAGCTCCTTCCCTTCCACAACTAATTCATTAACATGATTCTGTTAATCATTGTTCAAACAGGTCATCCCTAACCATCCAGTGAAACATGGTGAGTCCTTTCCATTTTGCTTCTCATTGCACACTGTTCATTTCTTTCATTGTACACAGCACTTGCCCTGTCTGGCAATTATGGGTTTGCTTTTTTTTTTAATCTATTTATTTTTTCTGTCTCCCACTTAATGAAGGAAAGAACCTATGTTGTTTTATCCAATATTAAATAGCCCAAATATAGTTCATGGCTAAATACTCATAAACAACAAATAGCCACAGGAAACCCCAGAGTCTATCGTTTTTAGAATCTGCTATCTAAAGACTTCTATAACCTACCAAAAACGGGATCTCAAAGCACACACATAGTTTTTTTTGCTTTTGTGCTTTGTCTTGCATGTAAAAATAAAGTTTCCTCCTTTTTCTATAAAGCCAAAATGAACTGTTTTGGTTCAATTAAAATATGATTTCCTATGTGGTATCTGAAGTTTCCTCTGAGACACCCATAATCTTTGCACACATTGTGATAAATGAAATAAGCCAGTCACAAAAAGATTAATAATGTGTGGTTCTATTTATATGAAGTATGTGAAATAACAATAGTTGAATATTTGTTCATTGTCTCTGATTCCTGGCTCACAGCTCCTAAGATTCTTGGACTCTCCAGAGCAATGAAGAATATCTTTTTTATGCCATGGGATGACTGCTGGTTAGAGGTCCAAAAGAGTTCCAAGGTGGAACTTTCAGCTCCTCCCAGCCAACCCTACCCTACAACTTTGAGGAGGGGAGAGGAGCCATATGTTCACACACTCATCAATAAAGGTCAATAATTTAATCATGAGTATATATACATATATATATAAAATCATGCATATATACAAAGACTCCATAAAAACCATTAACAGGAGGTTTGTTAAAGGTTGCACATGGAGGTGCTAGGTGGGTAGTATGCCCAGAGAGGACATGGAAGTGCTACACACCCCTTCCCACATACCCTGACCTATGCATTTGTCTGCTTGAGTTGCATCATTTACAATAGACCAATAATAAAGTACCTTCTTAAGTTATGTGAGATATTCCAGAAAGTTACTGAACCTGACAGGGAGGGTTGGGGGATCCTCTAACTTGCAACCCAGTTGGACAGAAGTGGGCAACCTGAGGACCCTCTATTTGAATAACTGGCAGATGAAGTAGAAACTGAGCACTTACACTTATGGCGTCTGACACTAAATAAGGGTAGTGTCAAAACTTAATTGAAGTTGGGCATGGTGGCAGATGCCTGTAACCCCAGCAACTTGAGAGGCAGAGGTAGAAATATAAAGATCTGAGGCTGGCCTGGGGAAAAGAGAAAAAATAAACTAAAAGCAAAGGACTGGGGATGTGGCTCAAGTGGTAAAGCACAAATGTGCTTGAGGCCCTGAGTTCAATTCCCAGTAACTCAAAAAAACAAAACAAAACAAACTGAATTCAACTGTAGGATACGATACCTTGGTGTCTAGAAACTTGGGAAACTGGTGGGTGTGAGGAAAAACCCCACACATTTGCTATCAGAAATGCTGCATTAAGGGCAGGCAAAGTGACTCAGCTGGTGGCATACCTGCCTAGCAAGTATGAAGCCCAGAGTTCAAACCACAGTATAGAAAAAAAAAGGAAAGAAATGTGCTAAAAAAAATAATTCATTGATATCTAAAGTAGTCAAATTCACAGAAACAGAAAACAGAATGTTGGTTACCAGTGGCTAGGCAGAGGTGGTGTTGGCCAAGCAAGGGGACTTATTTCACTAGTACAGTGTTTCAGATTTAGAAGATGAAAAAGTTTGGGAGATCTGTTTCCTAACAATGTAAATTAGCACTATTGAACTGTACACTTAACATTGGCTAAGATGGTTAATTTTATGTTATGTGTTGTTTTTTGGTTTTTTTAATCACAATTCTTTAAAAAGATCAAGAATAAGCCAGGCACCAGTGGCTTACACCTGTAATCCTACTCAGGAAGATCACAGTTCACCACTCTTACCTTGAAAATATCATCATGAAAAGGTCTGGCAAAATACTCAAGTCTCAGGTGGTAGAAGCAAGTGTAAGGCCCTGAGTTTAAACCCCAGTCCCACCACAAAAAAATTATAATCAAGATCATAATTCAAGAGAAGAAATATGCCCATAAAGTTTTCTGTATTTTAACTTTAATTTTCTCACAACAAAATCTCACCATTGGTGGGATAACAGCAGCTCGATGCTGAAGCTGTGGCAGATCCAACGGATTTGGTTTAATTGGGGATGAGACTAGTATCGATCCAGTGGGGTTTAACAATGAAGGCTTTGCATCCATAGGAAACATTCTACAATTGGGGGAAAAATGATAAATGAATGCAATTTTATTTAATAAAAATCAATTTAAAAGTAGTACAGTCACCATAATTCCTTCTAAGTTAATATATGCACATTCATACATATAATCTATCACATTAACCCATGTAAGACATGAAAAGGACTGAGGTGTAGCTCAGTGGTAGAGTACTTGCCTAGTCTGTATGTGGCCCTAGGTTCAATCCCTAGCACCATTTCAAAAAAATAAAATATTTTGATAGCAAGAAAAAGGCGCCTATACTACAAATTCTCCAAATGCAAAAACCTAACTTTGACATAATTTGAAATTTGTCTAATTTTTAATTATCTACATCAAACCAACAAAACAGTCTGAATAAAAACCATTTTAAAAAATGTTCAGTTTTTGCCAGGCACCAGTGGCTCACACCTGTAATCCTAGCTAATCAGGAGGCAGAGATCAGGAGGATGTGATTCTAGGCCAGCCTGGGGAACCTGTTCTTGAGACCCTATCCCAAAAAAAAACCAACTCTTCACAAAAAAGGGATGGTGTGGCTCAAAGTATAGACCCTAAGTTCAAACTCTTGTACCACAAAAAAAAAAATTCAATTTTAATTTACCACTAACGTACCAAAGTAGGTTAAAAACTTGTTATACATTTATAGGATGTTTTGCTGGGATCACAGGGTTATAAGCCAATGCCATTTTTAAATGGAGAATTTTACCAAAAATTCCAGACTTCTGGCTTCTCATGAAAAATGGAAAGAACTGACAATGCTGAACCAGCATTCTCACACAGCAGCTTCACATGGGCACATGTTCCTCTGATCACACAGTTCCTTACAGCCATCTAACATTCTATCTGCTTTATTCAACTCCAGGACCTACACTTGAGTTTAGGACACCTCATGTATAAACTTAGGGAAATTACACATTAATGTCAGGTTTTTATAGGCTTGGTCATATTTTTCATTGGTGGCATAATCACTAGGAAAAGGTGAACCTTTAAAATTTTTCTCTTATCACTGAATCACAACCCCCAGCCATACAAGGAATTTCTTACTTTCAAGACTATAGTCATGACTAGGGGTGTGACACAAACAGCCAGAGTTCAGTCGCCACTACTGGGGAAAACAGAACCCAAGGTGACTGTCATGTTAATCTCTCTCTCCTCTCTGCTTAGTAGGGTCAGGTGGCACTACTGCAGCCTCTGTTGTCCAGGGACCTGTAGGTGCTGGAAGATCCACAGAGAGGATGCCAGACACCCGGAAACCAGGAAATAAAACTGTTGACCTTTAAGAATGTGGCCATTAACTTCTCACAAGAGGAGTAAGAAGTCCTAGAGTTGGTACAATAGAATTTATATAGAGATGTGATGTTAGAGAATTATAGAAACCTGGTCTCCAGGGAGTTGCTTTCCATAAGCCATACCTGGTCACCTTTCTAAAGCAAAGGAAAGAGCCTTAGAATTTGAAGAAACAAGAAACTGTAGCCTTTGATTGAGGAAGACTGGAATAAGTGTAGCAGAAGTCACAGGTGAGAGGTTCAAAGGTGAAGGAGGAAGCCAGACTTTAAATTGTGGATTGAGAGCAGTTCCAATGGAAATGATGGAAGCCTAGGTTTATTTCTCTTGCTCTTACAGAAGGACAATCTCCTGCCCTATTGTTATCAGGCTCCTCCTTCCCTCCAGTGGTCTCCCCACACATTCATAGTGACAACCAAATTCCTCCCCTTTGCCTATGATGGTCTGCATAATATGATCGCTCTTCCATTACTTCTAAGGGCCTAAGAAAGTCTATGTGCATTTCTAAAGACATCTATGTTAAACCACTGTAATTTGTTAATATCATAAAGAAGTTTCTCTAATATTATTTATTCTTTAAAATTATTGCACAAGAGCTCTTTATGGGAAGTTATAATGGATTTTCTTTGAAGTTTCTCTGCCATACACTGATTGTCAGTGATTAGCAATACCTGATCTTCATGGGAATATGGTCACAACTCAAAATGGTAGTTATCTAAAAGAATTTTTAAAAAAATAGTAAATCTGTGTTTTTCAGGATTTTATAGGTTAAACTTTCTTTTTCTTGTTTTGCAATTTCTTTATCTGTGTTTCACTTGTTAAATAAATTTTTAACCTAGAAATGATGACTGGATGGCAATTTTCAATACTGTACAACTCAGGAAAATTATAAGGTGAAATTAAAATGAGTCATTAGTCTATTGCCAAAGAAATTATATATTTTTATTTGCAAATATAAGTACTATGCATTTTGTTAATGAAAACAAAACAGGTTCCTGCCATCCTAATTTTTCCTTCTTGCATAAATATAGTTTCCAAAAGAACGGCACAAAACACACATATTTTGGATGAGACGTATCATTAAAGAATTCTTTAAAAACTATGCAGCTTGAATCCATGTATATTTACTTTAGTTACTGAAATTGAGAAATTATTGAAATTTAGAATAGACTGGTTATAGACTAAATGTGTATTTAATGCCAGGACACACTATTCATAAAAGCTGAACTGTGAATAGAATCTGGTCTCTGGTGAGTGGCTTATTCATGCCTTTTTCTACTAAAAAGTTTTAAAGGCCAAAAGCAAAAAAAACTGGACAGGGTTTGACTGAGTTTCTGATTAAATGATGTGTTAGACTGTTTTTCTTCTAGAATTTGTAGCAATCCAACATCTACTATGACTCTAGGTGATTCTACCCCTTTCAAGGAGAAGGAAAAACCAGGATATTAAATACATTAAACCAGTACCTATTCCTATCAAATGTCTTTTATACTGTAACTTACAAAAGTCCTAAAGACAAACACCTTAATTTATTTTTAGTAACTAGAAATACTTATAATTTATATTATACCTTATATTCTACATTATAAATATGAACAATCTAAAATTTTAATTCATAAAACTATCAATGCAATTATTATTAACTTAAATTATGCTCTTTACAGTATTTTCAGGACACTTGACAGTTTCTCCTTGAAGTGTTTTCTTATAGCTACAACTCTGGGCCTGGTCAACTTTGCTGTGAGGTGAAGCCAGCATAGAGAAACACACGGCTATAGTCAAGGCCCCTCACCTCCACCTCCACCTCCGCCTTCACCATATCCCACTGCTGCTATCTTTGGGCACCACAATCACCTGTGATTTTATTCACAACTATGTTAGCTGAGATCCCTTTTATCTGCTACCACAGAATATATGTAGTAAGACAAGATATAGAAATATAAAATCTGTTGCACTTTAAGAATAATCATTCAACTGGTTTTGATTATTGAAACATATGAATGGCATCCATTGCTTAATAATAAAATCACAGACTACCTATACTTTGTCACTATTTGTATAGGAGTCATCTCTGCAGCCAGCACTATTCTTTGACTCTGCTAGTAACCAGCTAAGCAGGAATGGGAATGAGTCTCACCTCTGTCTCTCAGGCTCTCCATCCACATCTTCATCAGCACTACAAGTGGCACTGGAATCATTGTCTGACTGGGGCTCAGGCCTTTGGGGATTTATCTGCTGAGCTACCACCAAATCTTCATCTCTAGGCTCAATCTTCTCACTTGCTCTCTCCAAGTCTCTTTCTTTGGTATCTCCTTCACCTTTAGACACAGAGTTTTCGGGCACCCGCATTTCAACATCCACAGAATCTGCTTTGGTAGTGGTTGGGGGATCAAGAACAGAACTAGCTTCAGCATCACACTCTTGATGGTCTACATCCATTGGCTCCGCTGTCTCAGCACTGATGCTGTCAGTCACCTGGGTCTCCACACTTTCACTTTCAGTTGGTTTTGTACTTGCAACTGCTGAGGAGGGAGATGTACTGGGTGCAGGGTCAGTGGTGGACTCGAGCTCAGCCACAGGTTCAGTGGTTCCTCGAGAAGCAGCATTTTCATTGCTGTCTTCACTGGGCTTGACAGCTTCAACTGGTGAAGGAGAAGGAGCACTTTCTGTATCAGAACTATTTTCAGCACCTTAAAGATAATGATATAGCATAAAAATCTGATAATGAACGTGGTTCAGGTGGTGACAGAAACCATGCTTGAAAGTGGTTGTATAGGATGAATATGCTCCATTGATGACCTCACTGAAGTATTTATAGCCATTGGGAAAGCTAAAGTTTTCTGAGAGCATGAAAGTGAAAGATCAAATTGTCTTGACTCTCTGAAATTGAAAACGCTTTTGATGTCTGAAAATAATTCATTTTGAAATTTGAAAAACAAAGAAAGATGGAACAACAAAACTAAACAAAAAACATTCCCATGAATGGTGACATTCTGGTATATTTCTATGAGCCTCTTTTTGTGCATTTCCTTTTACCCAATTAGAGCTCACACTTTAGAAAAGCACAATTCAGTAGGAATATAATGTAAATCACATCTATAAATTGAATTTTGCAGGTGGTCAAATAAAAAAGTAAAAAGAAGGTAAAATTAAAACTATTGCTTTAATCTAGTATGTCCAAAATATAATCATTTCAACACTGTAGCCAATATAAGAAACGAATAGTAGGATGTTCTGCCTTTTTTGGTACCAAGTCTTCAAAGTGTCATGCATATCTTATATTTTCAGCATATCTCAACTTGGACTGTCTACCTTTCAAGTATCCAATAACCATGTGTGTCTAATGTCTACCACACTGGACAACAAAGCTCTAAATACTATGTCACAGATTTGAAATTTCATGTTGTGACATAGATCTTTCCTCATGTTCTTGGTATCATTTCATAAAGATACCTCTAATACTTTTGACATCTTCACTTAGATGAATCACAAAGGAATCACAAATCCTTCACCAAAGAAATCACAAAGTCAATACAAGTCCTACACTGGGGTTGTATGTATGTTCCCAAATCACCCTTTTCTAATTACCCAATTAAACACACCAAAAAAACCTAGGAGTAGTCTATTAAACCTTCCTCTGACTGACCCTTATATCCTGCTTCAAGTCTCATTGATTTTTCTAAAATTATCTTTTGAATTCAACCAATTCTGTTCTACTTTCCAGCTGCCACTCTACTCCAAATTTGACTTTTTTTATACCTTCTACTTCAACCGAACTAGAGTGATGTTTTTCATTTTATTTTATTTTGGTGATATTGGAGTTTAAATTCAGGGCTTCAGACTGCTATATAGGCACTCTATTATCTGAGACATTCCACCAGCCCTTTTTTGTGTTGGGTATTTTTGAGAAAGGGTCTCTATTTGCCTAGGCTGGCCTAGAACCTCTATCTTCCTGATCTCTGTCTTCTGAGTGGCTAGGATTGCAGACATAGCCACTGACGCCTGGCTACAATGATCTTTTTAAAAGCCAAATCTTAGCCAGATGTTTGGAGTACTCTTGCCTATAATCCCAGCTACTTGGGAGACAGAGATAGGAGGATCATGATAGCATGAAACCCTATCTGAAATACTGTTAAAATAAAAAGATGGCTGGGGGTGTGTCTCAAGTGGTAGAGTGCTTACCTAGCAAGCACAAGGTCATGTGTTCAAACCAACCACAGCATTGCTAATAAATTATTAAATAATTAATTTTAAAAAGCTGAATCTTAACATCACTCACTCTCCCTGTTTTCTTTAAGTTTCAACTTTTCAATGAAACACCATTATTCTTAGGAGAAAGTGCCAAAATTGTCAGCATAGCCTGATAGCCTCTCAAGCTTCACCTTGCACCCAGCTCTATGTATGCCAGTCTCACAAGCCTTTTTGTTTTCTGAATGTCCCACTTAGGCACTGTACTTACCATTCAGTCTCATTTTCTGAAAGGATCTTTCCTTTAGGTATCAGCTCAAATGCCACATGCTTAAAAAACATTCTATAGCTTCATTAACAAAGTTAAACTGTACTATTAGAGCTCTTATAACATGTACTCATACTTCTACAAGGCTATGAACTCCATATGGACAAAGATTATATACTGATTAGTACTTCTGTACTAAAGACTAGCATTGTGCCTGGCACATCAGACTCAAATGTTGGCTAAAATATAAACTGAATTAATAGTTTTGTAGAAGCCTTACATTTATCTTGAGTTTTTGAATCCTTGAGCTGTTTACAATTTGGCATTATAACAGTTTGCAAAGATGTTCACTGTAGCATTAACTTTTTAGGTTATTTTCTTAAAATAGACAATATACACACACAGAAACACAGACATATAATACACTTTTAATGAGAATTCAAAGTTTCTAAGAAAAATTTCTTAAGCTAGTGAACCAATAGTTTACATGAAGAGTAAGACACTGAAAATAAATCCCAGAAAATTATGAAAAGTAGTAAAGTGAGCAAAGATTTGCCTCTCCAGTCACACAAACTCACCATAAAGCCACATATTAAAACATATACAGAATTGCCAGAGTGACAAGTACATTCAGTGGTACAAAAGACAATGTCCAGGAAAAATCTTAACATATATGGGAAATTAAGCTATATTAATGGTAGTATTTTAAGTCATGGAGTATAGGATGATTTATTTAATAAAACTGTTCAATTGTAAATGGTTCTTTATCTGGAAGAAAAACATGGGGCTCTATCTTATGTTGTAAGAAAAGTAATTCCCAATGGAAAGTCTTTTTTTTTTTTTTTAAGTTTAGAAGTACTTAGACAAGATATTTGTAACCTCTGGAATATGCAGAGATAAAGTAAAAACTATAAGATCATCAGTATTTTTTCTTTTTGTTTTCTTTATATGATTTTCAGACTATTTAAAAACTCAATGAATCCATTTTTCATTCACTCAAATGTGTGTAAAATGTCTACTCTGTGCAGCTGTCTGAGATTCTGGAGACACAGCAGTGAGAGAAATCAAATTATGTGCTTTCATGGAGCCCACACTCTAATGTGAAATAAGGAACAATAAACATTTAATGTATCAGATGGCAACAGGTACAATGACTAACAGAACTGAAGAAGCAGTGGTAAGGAAAGATTATAAATGGCAAATGACATCTGAACAGAGACCTAAAAGAAGGAAGAGAGTAAGCCCTGGGCATACTGTGGGGAAGAGTGTGCCAAGTTGAGAGAACAGAAGATGCCAAGGCCCCTGACAGAATGTTTTGCTTGGGAATAGCAAAGAGGATAGCTTGGTTGAGGCAGAGGGAGCAAACTGAAGGGTTGGCTTTACGCTCGCCTCAAGCTTGCAAAGCAGGCAATCTACTGCTCGAGCCATCCCTCCAGTCCTAGCTTTCACTCTTGATGAAATGGGAGAGCATTACATGATTTGGAGTGGAGAATAAATATGATTGGATTTACATTTTCCAAGGAGTAATCTGGCTACTGCATGAAAGGAAAAAAAAATAATAGAATGGCGCCAAAAGAAGAAAGAAGACCAAAGAGACTCTGGAGAGGCCAGCAGTGCAGAACCAAGAGTGGCAGCTATGGAGACAGGGAAAAGGGATCCAATTCTGAAGAGTATATCCAAAGAAAAAGTGACATGATGAACCATATGAGAAAAAATTAGGAAAGTATTGACATAGGCCTAGTGGAGTGGCTCAAGTGATAGATGAAGTGCTTGCCTAGCAAGTGTGAGGCCCTGAGTTCAAACCCCAGTGCTGCCAAAAAAAATAAACAAAGAGACAAAAAAAATTTTTTTTACTGACATAGGGAAAGACTGGAGGAAAAAGCAACACAGGGTAGTGAGGAAACAAGAGTCCGCTTTGAATGTTAATTTTGCGCAGACTCATAGGTATTCAAGTAAAAATATTAAGCAGGTAGTTAGGGGCATGAGCCTGAAATTCCGATGAACATTCACATCTCAAAAGCAAAAACAAAAGACGGACAAAATTCAGAACAGTAGTACCTCACATGTAATAATGTCTTAATATATAGTGGCAAAATCAGTGAAAGATCAAAATGATGAAAAACTAACAAAAAACCTGACTTAACCTTCATTTCTCTTTATATGGTGATGGAAAGCTCTACCAGAGGCCAAATGACAAAGTCATTTATCCTAAAAGACATAAAAGTAATTGCACACCAGATGGTATCACTGGCTATAAGCACTGTCTTAATTAAAATAAATAAAACTTTAAAGAATGATTTAGAATAAGAGAACAAGAGCAAGTCCAAATTTTGGTGAAGTTTCAACCTTCCTGATTTAAATCTTCTAATACTGGAGAGATACTGAGACGGTCAAATGTGTTTTAGGAAGACAGACAGACACAGTAATTCTCCCCTCAGCAGTCACCTTCACTCTCCCACTGGAAAGAGCCTTGCCACACAATAAAAGTGCATCTGCAGTATCTCATTAGGATTGGCAATAGGGATAACATCACCAGGCATGTACTGCATTTACATTCTTTTCTATGGCACTTTACAAACGAAGCTAAACCAAAAAGAAATGAAAAGAGTTCTACTGGCAATTCACTTCCTTTTAGAACATTATACTAGATGTCACAGAATAACTTTATGCATTATTGCATGGGATGTGACCATGCCACTCTCCACCAGACCAGATGGACACATTATCTTAATAGTTTTAAAAAAGGTTCACTGTAAGATATCAGGAAGAAAGTAGAAGGGAAAAAGTCAAGTTTTGGTAGTTGTTTTTTAAGAATCTGCTGGCCCATCCATGAACAGATTTTTGTGGATGTTGCCCTGAAATTAACAAATTTATGATAATATGCTTGGGTTTTCTGATGGCCTGAACTGTGTCTCCTTTCCACAAACTGAAATGTTGAAGCCCTACACTATATGTGACTGCATTTGGAGATAATGACCATAAAGGAGGTAACAGGATAAATGAGGTCATAAGGGTGGGGTTCTAATCCAGCAAGGCCACTGCTGAAGACAAAGACACACACACCAGGAATGTGCACACACAAAGGAAAGGCAATGGGAGGACAAAGTGAGGTATCAGCTAGCTTGTAGCTTATAGCTAGCTGATATGAGGGTACTCAAAAGAAAGTAACTCTGCCACTTCTTCTTGGACTTCCAGTCTTCAGAACTGTGAAAACAATTTTCCATAGTTTAAACTGCCCAGTGTATAGTATTCTATTATGGCTGCCCAAGAAGACTAATACTACTGTCCCTTCTTACTCATGGGGAATCCAATCCAAAACCCCCCAGTAGATGCTCGAACCACAGATGACACTGAACCTTATATGTACTACATTTGTTTCTATACATTCATACCTATATTAAAGTTTAATTTACAAATTAGGTACTGCAGAGATTAACAATAACTAATAACACAATAGAACAGTAACAACAATACACTAGAACAAAAGTGATGTGACTATGGTCTCTCTCTCAGAATATTAAAAGTTCCATTTAATATTTTTGGATAACTGTGACTGCAGATAACTAAAACCATGGGTAAGGGGGAATGCTGTACAGGTTTTATTTACATTTACAACCTCAGGGAATACTAGCTACCATAAATAAGCCTGATAAAATAAACAATTTCTGATGACCTTTGGAAGCACCATAAACTGCAATCCATTGTTTACAGTACACACTTTCAAGGATGACCTTGCTTCAGTATTCTCTGTATATGTATGTCAATTACCTCATTTTCCAAAAGAACCTCATAGAAAAAAGTTTATTTATTATTTAAAACAAAATCCATTTCAAGAAAAGACAATAATAACCTGTAGAAAAAAAATAATAAAACCTAGGCACGGTAGTGCACACCTATAATCCTAGCACTTGGGAGGCTGAGACAAGAGGATCACAAGTTAAGGTCAGTCTCGTCTACACAATGAATTCCAGGCCAGCCTAAACTATAATATAGGGAGATCCAATCAATCAATCAATCAATAAAGTAGGTAAGTAAGTAAAATCTAACACTGCCAAAACGAAAGGGTATAAAGCTTCCTAAGCTTATATAAAATTCTACAAAGGATAAACAGCTCTAACTAGGCATGATGGCACTGGAGATGCAGAAGCAGAAGGACGACAAGTTTGAGGTCAGCCTGGATTACATAGCAAGATTTTGTCTTTAAAGAAAAAAAAAACCTGCTCTAATTATATCACATGGTTTAAACTCTGGTAATTCAAACTTAAAATAAAACAAAAAGCAAATGAGATGAGTATTTACAAAACTGAAGGTGTTTAATATATAATAAAGAGCTACTGAAATCATTATGAGAATCCTTGTATCAGAAAGTCATTTCACAAAAGAAATCCACAAAAACGTTAAAGTAACGTAAACTGAAATAAATTATTACTGTTTTTTTTTTTTAAGTGGCTAACACTCAAAATGTTTAGTTTTTCAGGAAGTTGTCACTTATTTGCTTGAATAACTAAGGGGATTTTATTTTTTCCATAACTTGGGTTGATACTTTCCTACTAGAGCTTCTAGGGTCTTTAATTTGTGTTACATTTAAAGAGAAATATGATATATGTAAAGTGTAAAAATATGAACTAAGTCAATCTCAAGGCACTAAATATAATGATGATGACTGAGTAGGTAAATTCAGCAATACTGATGATGGTACATAAGGGTTGGAAGTAGAACTGTCACGGTTAAGTTCTTCTAGTTGTGTAGTGCCTGGAACATGTTAAGTACCACATAAATAAATACTTGCTAATCAAATGAATAAATACATTATGTTCAAGTTTAAAGTCTATGCCATGAAAATACTGATACATTATTTTCTCCATGAAGCAATTCCTATATAATCAAGTGAGTAAACAAAAAATTTCACATTTGGGATAGCAGAAGTCTCGAGTGAATTTAAGATACCTTCACTATCTTCTGGATTTTCTTCTTCATTGGAGGCTTCAATATCTTCATCTTCCTGAGCAGAAACAGTGGAAGCCACACTTTCACACTGAGATACATCTCTCTCTTCACGAGGTTTTCGTGAAGTCTAAAAGAGTACACAATATTAAATTATTTATGATTTAAAATAAAAGGAAAAAAATCAAATTCCATTTCTTAAAAACATATCACGCTGACAGACACACATACCAGACAAGAAGGCTGTGTGTTTGACAATAGTTCTGGTTAATGTGCTGGCAGAAATCTCTGGCAACCACTAACTGGCTTTTGTTTAGATAGATCACTTTAATAAAACCCATCAAAAGTTGTATCTAGAGCTGGATGTGGTCATGCATACCTGTAATCCCAGCTACTTGGGAGGTAGAAAATGGGAGGATCTTGAGTTTAGGCCAACCCATGCAAAAGTTAGCAAGATACTATCTCAAGAAACAATCTAGCCATGATGGTACACAACTGTAATCCCAGCAATGCAGGATGTATAGGTAGGAGGATCGAAGTCCCAGGCTGGCTGAGGAAAATTATGTACATTGTTATCTGAAAAATAACTAAAGCATAAAGGGCTGCAAGGTGAAGCTCAAGTGGTTGAGAACCTGATCAGCAAGCCCCAGGCCCTGAGTTCAAACTTCAGTAACACACACACGTAAAAGTTATATTCCAACAGCAAATCTACATGCTCCTCCCCTACTGCAGATAATGTATCTTTCTTATGAAAATTTCAACAGCTAGAGATTGTAAGAGCACTGGTATGTTTTCCTTTAGATGCATACACGTATGTATGTCTCTGTATGTGCATGTAAATACATCCTGACAGCCCTATATAGAAATATATCCTACGTTTTTAAGCCTAAGGTAGCTATGAAGTAAACATATCCCGATGTCATAAATTCTACAAAATTATTTTTATAAGAGTTCCATAGAAAGATTTCTACCAATATAATTAAAATTCTACTTTAAGGCATTTAGGAAATTTTCAACTTTAGGTATTAGTAATGCTGTAATAAACTTCCTTCACTAGCACTGACTGCATAACTCTTCATGCAGTTCTAAAGGCAACAACTCCTTATCAGTGTTACTACTAAATTTCTTTTACTATTAATGGAGGGGAGGGGAAGAGAGGGAGGGAAGAGAGGGGAGGGAAGAGAGGCAAAAATACTGAGGGGCTAGAGGTAGTGGGGTGGTAGAATGCTTACCTAGTATGCATGAGGCTCTAGATTAGAACTTCAGTACCCTCCGACTAGCTCCTCAAAAGAGTTACACAAATTTTTCCTAATTTGGATACCTTTCATTATATAATACTAAATCATTTTATTTGCTATTATTATCATTGATCTCATCAGAAAAGCCTGTAATGAGAAGGCGTTAAGCTCAAGGCACTGTGCTAGTCAATGCCCTGTATAGCTATCCTTATCTCAACCAGCAAAACCCCTTGTTCCTTCCTATTATTGCTTATACTCTCTCTACAACAAAATTAGAGATA